GGGAGGGAGGGAGGGAGGGAGAGAGGACTCTATTGTATTTTATTAATATAATGTGTTCTATATATTGTATTATAATATTTGCGCGTACTTATTTTTTAAAGAAGTAAAAATATATATTTAAGTGGAAGGTTACTTATGTCATCCTAGTATAACATGTACCTGTAGAGGTATTCCGTATTTTGTGTTAGAGTACTCTCTTTCGTCAGTATCTTAAATCATTGGAAAATATCGCTTGCAATAACTACAGCAACAAATATTGATGTAACTCCGTATACTTCGGGTAATCGAGAGTCGTAGTGTATCTTACCAACTTGCCCCACATTCTATATGATAAAAATAAAGAGGACACACACACACACATAAAATAATAAATATGAAGAAAAAGGCTCGAGCTTTATAAAAAAAATCGAAGTGTAACGAACTAGAGGCCAATTATATTGAAAATAACAATTTCAGCCAACGGACTAAAGAACAAAAAAATGAAGAACAAAAAATGTGTTGGTCTACATTTAGACCGCCATTTGAATGAAGTTGTTATTTTTCATGACTGCTCTCTTCTAGTTCGATATATTTCAACTTTGTTATTTTATTACAGTTTGTGCGCGATATTATTTTCAACAAGACATGTCGCAATATTAACGCAGTACGGAATACCTTTTCTGCATCAATGTGACGGTCTACTTAATCGACCGTCTCCACTTGCTTCTGGATAATCATTCCAGAGAGAGAAAGAAAGAATGAGTGGCAGAGTGAATGAGAGAGAGAGAGAGAGAGAGAGAAAGAGAGAGAAAGAGAGAGAAAGAGAGAGAAAGAGAAAGGGAGACTATGCTAACGTGCGCAGTTACGCGGACCGTCCGAGTAAAGACACTAATTAGCGTAATTCCCCGGTAGGCACGGCTTTTCCGTGCATCCTGGAATTTCTGACAAATCATCTTTTTTACGTTCCCTTAAATGAAACTCGCCGTACACGAAAATCAAGTCGCTCTACAATAGCTTTCTGCTATCGCAGACCCTTTAAATTCGCCATTGAATTCGCCTCGTCGTTCGTAGATATCGTGAGTTCGCGAGAATTTTGAAAAGAAAGCGCAATTGCTATCGGCAACGGGGAAGAGGTAGTGAAAGATTATTGAGAGACTATTACAAAATTTTCGAGATACAGAAATCTTAAAGTACGGAGGATTAAAATGCTTGTGAGCGAAGAAATCCACGAATTATGAAATAGCTAGAAAGATGGTTTTAAATTGCTCTTTGTTGGAAATATCTTTCTTTTTGCAGTTTTCTGAAACGGAATCTGGCGAATCCGGGATTGGATTCGCTGAAAAAGACACGTTGCTCCGGATCTTTTTCGTTTTGAATGAAATATTCGTTCGTGTAAAAAGTACCTCACAAATCTCACAATTTGTATGAAAAAAAGTGGAAGAATCCTTCCAAAAGAAGGATTAAATTGTCGACGTGTTATACATATATTATTACTTTTCATAATTTAATCTCTTTTTACGTAAATTTACAATATTTTAAGTTTTGACAAAATTTATCGAGTGAATAAAAGATACATACTCGTGTATTAAAACGGTATTTTTTTCTCTCTCTCACGTATCTTTACGCAGTCTGACTTTGTTCGACTTTCACGACTCGGCAAAACATCGTCATGCAGCATCTCGATCTATCTCGAATTGTTGATTAATTTTATCCGTTACAATAAATCACGATAACGATTACTTCTAGATATATGTATTCCGGGCGCTGAATATACAGATATCAAACTAAACTGCGCGCATCGTCATTGTAGAATTGGTCTAAAAAAAAGGAGGAGAATTATGTTGCAGAGAGGCAATTAGGGACGTCAATAATATCGCCGCGAGCGCACTTTTATTCTGGATCGTCGGTTATACGGAACGATTTTTAATTGACTTATTCATTCGACGGCATTTCTCCTCTACGAATATGAAACCATGCACATAATCTTGAAAACGTAATCGCCAGACATGCAACGAGGAAGAAAAAGGAAAGAAATAGAGAATTTAAAACTTGAGAAATTAGAAAGTTGCCATTAACGGGAGATCAGTTTTTACGTGTAACGTTATAAAGATAAAAATATCAATTGTTGTTCTAATTGATTATTATTATAATACAGTACAACTAATTAATAATTGGAGACAAATTTTTAGTTGTAGTAAGTTAATAAAAATATATTTGTGTACTGCCGTTTCTTATATTTATAATAATAATTCTTTCGATTTGAAAGATTAATATAATATTAATATATTGTATAATTATATTGATTTCTATGACAACTAAAGCGGAAATTACGATACGCATCAAAGCATGAACTTGAGGCGAGGATGGCGGATTTTTCTGACACAAGTGTTCCTTTCTCGACACATCGACGTGAATATTATTTTTCTATGTATACGCCGTGATTAGTTGTGTCGTCGAGGCGTTTAAACATTTTATATTGGGCTTCCGTTCAAGTAAGTTTCGGCTGGTCGTAATGTATATAGGAAAAAAGAAACAAGATGCAAAAATCGACTTTCGTGCTCCAATCTAAAAATGTTTGCATCAACTAATTAATAAAAAGAAAAATTATACATTGAAATATATCAAAATAGAAAAATTAAATTTTGTAAAAATATCAAAACAGAAACAATAAAATAAAACTAACCAATAAAATATCAACAAATAAGCATTTATCATTTGCTCAGTTGAATCTACCTTTTCGTAAAAAAATAATAATATATAAAAATAAAGATAAAATGTACGCTTAAAATATGTCGAGTAATAGTTCAACCTTCATTGGAAATGGACCGTTCTTCCTCTCGACGTGAAGAAACGCACCGTTAACTGACGTTAGACGACGAAGAAACACTCGATTTATCACGTCAAGACATTTCCAGAAATGTTCTTTTTTCTATCAACGATATCAACTATTTGCAAACGTGCCATAGAATGTAGACTATTCGACGTACATACATTTCGACCAGCGGAATAATTAATCGGTACCGCTTGTTCGTGCGAACGCGCAAATGTTGTATCCGACAATCCTGAGGTGACGTGAGGAAGATTTCATCCTACTGAAGAAACAACGGTTTAACTTAAGTCACGCTGTACACAGGGCCTAAATAAAAAAAATTGCGTAGCATTTAAAAGAGGGATTCTAGCGATTCACTGCAATGGCAATTATAGGGCGGCATAGACGTTTAAAAAAGTGTCTAGCGGCAGATCGAGACACGCAGCAAGTAGAATTAAGTGAGGCGAATGTGAGACCACGATGAAAGGACTGATATGTAGACATTCTATGTAAATTGCGAGAGAACCTGAAATGGGAACGAGAGAGTGTGAGAGAGAAAGAGAGCGGCTATAAGTGAATCGAGCCAGGGTAAAATTGACTTTGACTGAAACATTTTGCGCTATTTATCACTTTAAATACATATATTGTAGAATATACATATCGTTTCTGATTAATCCGACGTGCGTATTTTATATGAGTTTTCCAGATAATCCATACAATTCTCTTCGTTTTTTTCTTTCACAAAATTATCTTTCACGTTTATCCTACAAGAGACAGCTTTCTTAAGTATTTTTCAGAAAGGTAGTTAACTACGGGCTAAAAGCGGAC